CTGTTAAGCGAATTTTCAAGTATCTGAAAGGTACTACTAATCTGGGTTTATTTTATAGAAAATCTAGTGATTACAGTTTAGTAGGCTACTGCGATGCTGACTTTGCTGGAGACAGAGTAGAGCGTAAAAGTACTTCTGGAAGCTGCCAGTTTCTGGGAGAAAATCTGATCTCTTGGTCCAGCAAAAGGCAATCCACAATTGCGCTATCAACAACAGAAGCTGAGTACATAGCAACAGCAGGATGTAGCACACAAATGCTCTGGATGAAAAGTCAGCTTGAAGACTTCCAGATTTTTGAGAGTAACATCCCTATACTCTGTGATAATACTTATGCTATTTGCTTAAGTAAGAATCCCATTTTACATTCTAGAGCTAAGCATATAGAAATAAAACATCATTTCATTAGGGACTATATTCAGAAAGGAATTTTGAACTTAAAATTTATAGATACAGACCATCAATGGGCTGATATCTTCACTAAACCCCTTTCTGAAGATAGGTTCAATTTCATTCTGAAACATCTCAGCATGAAAATCTGCCCAGAGTGAAAATGTTTTAATTCCATATATTTATCTTCAAAATGTATTTGTTTTACTGTGAACTTCTGATCAATCTCTTTTCAGAAAGATAGAGCATGCAGATTGTATCAGATGCTAGTCTTAAAGATCTGAGCGTTCCAACTCAAGGATAGACGTGCTGATCACTAAATCAAACAAGTGTCATCCAATCATCAGCAAATCTCTGAAGCAGAACGCGTGCACGCTTCTGAGAAGGCAAAACACTGATTGGGTGCATTGAGACACATGTCTGGTAACCGTTTCAAGTATCTTTCTCAAATCCCCCAAAATCAGCAAGCATTAAATGAAAGTAATCATGTTTTTAAAACGTAATCATGATTTTATTTCTCTTTCTTGAAACCGTTTACTCTTTCAAAATATTCTGAAATCTATTTAAGCACATTAACTTCTCACATTAATCTTTTACAGTTTCTCATAATCTCTCAAATATTTTCTGCATTTTCTCTGTGTTCATCTCTTTCAAACTTAAACCCATTTTCTCAGTTTTCTCAGAAAAACCCTAAGTGTGAACATGGCAACCTCCAACAGTGCTTCTGCAGGTTCTCAGAAGAAAGCTTCCTCTGAACAGTACCAAGTTCCATTCAGAACACTCCTTACACCAGTGAAGAATCTAGAAGTGTTATCTGAACTGATTATTGATTTTGGCAGTCTGAAAGAGAATGGTTTTGACTTGACAGAAGAAGTTAGGGCACAGAAATGGGAGAGATATTTCGACAGGTTGGTTGGACCAACATTCCCAATGTTAGTCAAGGAGTTCTGGATTCATGCGACCTCTTCAACGCATCAAGTCACCTCCTACATAATGGGAAAGAATATTGTGATCACTGAGGATCACATAGCAAAACTAATTGGTTACAGTGGCGGTGGCGTCCGCTGTATAGATATGGCTGAAAGATGCTCTGACATTGGCGTCATAGCAGAACAGATTTTCACCCTTGGGGTGCCCAGCAGCAAGATCAGAGACTTAAAGGATCACCACAGAGTTTGGGCAAAGATCATTCTGGGGTGTTTTAATCATAGGAAGCCAACTAGTTCCCCTGATTACATAAATATAGATCAGCAGTTTCTGATCTATTTTATCAATCAGAAGGTAAAAATCAACTTGGCTCATCTTCTGTTTAATCACCTCAGAACAAGCGTGAAGGAAACCAGGGAAGAAGAAAGAACAAAGAGGGATTGGATACCCTTTGGAAGGTTAATATCAGATATTCTGACTGAGAATAGGCTGATAGAGCACCTGATAGAAGCTCAAGAGTTAAGCACCATTGAACCAACTGTTGGCAAACCTCTGAACGCGAAGAATCTGAAGAAAATGAAGTTAATAGAGAATATCAGAAAGGAACCCAGCGTTACTCCTATTGCTGACATAACCAGCAGAAGAGTCCCACTGAGTGACTTTCCCTTATTTTCTGAGATAGAATCTAAACTAGTAGTGGTTCTCAGATACTTGGACGCGTGCAAGGCTGATGGTACAGATCCCAAGCTGAATATCAAAGATCTGCACCAAGCTCAACCAGAAGTCTCGCTGAAGAAGACGAAGAAAAGGAAGGCCCCTTCAGAAGGAACATCCCAGCAGACACCCAAGAAAAGAGGTAATTTATCTGCTGCTTCTGTTTTAAATTCTTCTGCTATTCCAACATCAATCCCCACTCCAGCTTCTCATGAAATCCCAATCCCCATTCCAACAATAGATGAAACCGAACCAGAAGATGACCCTTCTGAGGCACTACAACTCAGAAGACCCCGCACCAAACATCCCAAACCAACAACTTCAACAACATCAGCACTTGACAAAGTTCTGTCTGACATTGATCAACGTGCTTCTGATCACCTCTCCAATAATCCAAACTCTGAACCAGAAATTGTCCACTCTCCTCAACCAGAACAACCTCTCTCACCCATTCCAGAAGAACCACATATTCCTGAACAACCAGAAATTCCTCCTCCTTCTCCACAACCAGCAATTCCTTCTCCCTCTCCTCAACCAGAAATTCATCCACCATCACCTCAACCTGAGTTTCATCATTCTGAAACTCCATCTCCTCCATCTCCTGAACCTCATTCTCCTCAATCCTCTGAGCCACAACCTCTGGCAATCCAGCTGCCATGTGGAACAACAGTAACCATGGCACAGCTGCCATCCTCTCCAGAATCTACCCCACCAAATACTCCAAAAACCCCAAACAGTCCAATCATTATTTCTGATTCTCCCACTCCATCTCCCAAACAAATAGCTCCCAAACAAACCACAGAAGACCCCAGCAGGACCTTCATAGATTTAACAATCCTTGACCGTCTTGTTGATCTGAAAAATAAAATAGCCATTCCAAAACCAAAACAGCCGGATGTTGGCTCTGGCATTATGAATTTTGAAACAGGTTTGCAGCAGTGGATTGCTTCTCTGAAGCAAGTCTGCCCTGGAATGATTGATCCAGCTGCTTCAGACCAGCTCTTGTCACAATTCAGAATTTGGGTACGTGCTGAAGCTCTAAAATTGCAAGACATCAATTATGAGCAAGCACAGCAGAATTTCAGCAAGCTTCTGAACGAAGTTGGAAGTCAGCTGCTGAAAGAAGACGTGCTCCTTCTGGATAGTGAGCCATGGTCTGAGAAGCGTCCAGCTTCAAAGGTGCATCCAGAAGAAGATCATACAATTCAAGCTGAAGCCAGTCAAGCTGAAGATGTTGCAGAAAGCTCTCAGAAGCTCCCTGCTTCTGATGTTTCTCAAGCTGCCTTGGACAGGCAAACTCTGGAAGAGCTGAAGCTGAATGATATTCGTCTACAGCAAAGGATGGATGAAAATGATCAAAAGATGAAGGAAAGGATGGATGTGCAGGATATCAAGATAGATACAATAGTCAGCATGGTGCACAAGCAGACTGAAACTGCTGATCAGATTAAAGCAATGCTGGAGACTCTGTTCACACGCCTTCCTCCCCAACCTTAGATTTTCATTCATGCTATTTTCATGTTTTCTTTGCATATCCTCTGTACTATTTTGTTTGGCTCTGACTATTTTAATATGACAAGTTTTTCTGATCTAATTGTTTTCATGTTTTAGCACATCACTTACACTTTTTTATTGCTGACAAAAAGGGGGAAAACAAGAATGATATTTTTCAATAACGGATTACTGAGGCAAAAAGTCTCAAACATTCTAACTCTGATATACTTGAATGTTTTCTTCTGTTTTTGCTTAAATCTACAGGTACAAGAATGCTCTCTGACTCACTGAAGACCAAAGCTCTGATACTTTGATCCAAAGCAAAGCTCTGATAAAGCTCTGATACTCTGATCTAAAGCTCTGCTCTAATATTCTGATCTAAAGCTTCTGATAGTCAAAGACTCTGATATTCTGATGTTCAAAGAAAGTCAATAAAGATCTGATCCTGAAGAACCCTTGGAATTCAAAAGGGAAGTTATAAATTCAGGGGGAGTATCTCCGGTCCCAACTCACATATCTCTTTATCCCTTATCTTTGATAACTTCTTACTCTGATACATCTTATCATTTAGTTGTCTCTGATACTTTTTCACGTTATTTTCAATTAAAAATATCTAGTTTTTGTCATCATCAAAAATGGGGAGATTGTTAGAACAAAGTTTGAATCTACTACCCTAAGTTTAAGTTTTGATGATAACAAAATGAAAAGATATATTAATTATGTGATTCATGTAAGAACTATTTGCTACCTAAAATATTACCTTCTGTTTTGTAGAAACTCTGATAGGTATCAGCAAGAGTACACTTAATCTACATCAGAATATTGGTTATCAGCATCAGAAGTTGCTATATCAGAATACCAGAATCAGAAGAACAACTCACGCGTATGCTGAAGCTTGATGAACAGAACTGCGCTCAACACTCTGATAAAGACAACAACAGTTCATCAGCACTTAAGCAGAGTCAGAATGAGCCCAAGCCAGAACACGCTTTAAGTAGCAACGGTACTGTGCATTCAAAGAGAATTATTACCAACGACATCATTCCAGACAAGATCTGCTTAATAAGGAAAGTTTGTTATTGGCATTGAATCAAGATTATTGCTCCAACGTTCAACAATTTCAGTGCTATATAAACAAGACAATGAAGATTGAATTGTCTAATGCTCTACATCATATTACCGCCTAAAAACTATTCATCATCTTCTCATTTCTCAGTTTGCTAAAAAGCTCCATATTTCCTTACTCGATTACTTTTAGCAATCCAGTTTCAATAAGCTTAAGTTGTGTAATATCACAGTTGTGATAAACAGTTTTGTAGAAAACATTCACACACCTAGATTTCTCTTCTTTGTAAGAAAGTGTTTCCTTGACAAACCGGGTTGTGGTTTGCATCAAGAAGGCTTTAGCAGTTGTTAAAGCAATTTGTAATATTCAGTTGAATATAGTGAATATAGTAGATTAAGACCTCATTAAGACCTCAGTGGAATAACCAATAAGAAGTTATGTAGGGTTTATTAGAATCAGGGGCACGAGTCCTATATCCGGTAATGTAATCTGGTTGTTTGGTTTCATGGTTACCATAGGAAGTTATGTAGGGTTTATTGGAATCAGGGGCACGATTTCTATACCCGGTAATGTAATCTGGTTGTTCGGCTTCATGGTTACCATAGGAAGTTATGTAGGGTTTATTGGAATCAGGGGCACGAGTCCTATACCCGGTAATGTAATCTGGTTGTTTGGTTTCATGGTTAATATAGGAAGTTATGTAGGGTTTATTGGAATCAGGGGCACGAGTCCTATACCCGGTAATGTAATCTGGTTGTTTGGTTTCATGGTTACTATAGGAAGTTATGTAGGGTTTATTGGAATCAGGGGCACGAGTTCTATACCCGGTAATGTAATCTGGTTGTTCGGCTTCATGGTTACCATAGGAAGTTATGTAGGGTTTATTGGAATCAGGGGCACGAGTCCTATACCCGGTAATGTAATCTGGTTGTTTGGTTTCATGGTTAATATAGGAAGTTATGTAGGGTTTATTGGAATCAGGGGCACGAGTCCTATACCCGGTAATGTAATCTGGTTGTTCGGCTTCATGATTATCGAGTTCATTTAGATTTTCAAGACGTATAATATGGTTGTTGTGTTTTGTGCTGGCATATGAAGCTACAAAATTTGGTTTAGTATTTTCATACTGTGTAATATATGGTTCTTCGTTCTGATCCCCCAACACTACCTTCAAGTCTCTGGTACAAAAGCCTTGACCAATCTACAACAATATCAATGAAAATATAAAATATCAGTGGCTCAATTAATTAACTGCTATAACTTTTAACAATAAAAATTTTAAACAAATATTTTCTCTAAATCACATTATTAAGTCATGATTATAAATCGAAATAGTATATATTATTGATGCTGAAAACCAAAGAAAATATTTTCTACAAGGACATATATAGATGAGGGATCATTGCAGACTAGTAAAAACCATGCATAATTGAATTAATTACCATGAAGAAGAAAAGGAGTAAAGTAAGAAACTGAAGTGCTAATGTCTGAGCCATATTTCTTCTATTAGAAAGAAATTTAAGTGTTGTGAATGAGTTCCACTTGAAGATAACTGACCTTAGAACCTTTAATTGCACAACTTGGCTAGTAGGACGTAGCGAGATGATCGGCTTTGGTGTATGCCCAAGGTCGACAGATACTTGATGCTACACTCATTGAGGTTTGACTCTTGAGTATTGTTTGGTTACGAGTCAATCGCCTATTGAACGAAGCTGGGGGAAAGATCGGTGATATTGAGATCCCTTAGAACCCGGTTACTATTTATAGGACAGGTTGAACCAATCCAACTTCAAGAGGGTACTACCTTAAAACCCATGCAAGCCTAAACCTAAGGCTGTTTGTGTAACTTGTGTGCTTTCAACTTGAACTACTTGCAGGGTTTTATTATCTGAACACTGAGTTCCTTGCAGGTTTTGTTTACAGTCATTGTCCAATAACTTAGATTTCTTGCAGGGTTTACTTGCTTACATCACCTCGCACTTTTGCTTAAACGCATATCATAGACATAATAACATCATGCCTTACATTTCCTTAACAATTTCAAGGATCTCGAGGGCCTGTGATGCAGGTTATGATAAATCATACGTCTAGCAAGGGGCAAGGGGATTTATTTTCCTCTATTCAATGTCGTCAGAAGATCAAAACTCAACAACTTGAGTCAGGGGCTATGACCCACTTGATATGGTGAGCTTAACTCTCGTAGAAGGACATTCGACGATACGAAGTTTTTCAATCAAAGCTGCAAATCTCAACTTCTGACATTTTCTTGTTTATCCCGTGAGATCCTTGAAAACATTGCATACATATATCATACATATCATTGCATAAACAGGTTTCAAAGTAGGTCTCTCATTTTATCGTTGTTTATTTCAGCAATGGCTCTCAAACAAGACAATAGAGATCTCTAAATTCAAGAGGCTCGGTTCATGGAAATGTTCCTAAACCTATACAAGGGGCAGGAAGAGTTGAAAGCACTCCTCACTGGGAACCTGGACAAGAAAAATCCTAAAGACAATAAGGACAAAACAGTTGGAACAACTGCAAGCTGAGGTTGAAGCAATGAGAACCCAGATGCTGGGGCAAATGGCTCTTATCCAAGGCCTAGACCGGGGACAAGAAGAGATGAAAACTATTATCAATAAACTTTATCAAGATGGATACAACCGTATAAAGAAAGCAATCGAGGCTGGAGACCAAGTCATTGATTGACCTTCAAGAAGACAAGAGTTTGGTTTGGTGAAGAGTGGACCTTTCCAAATTGCTACTACCTTACGGGTCCAACAATAACCTCGCCAAAAACAATGGGTTAATTAGAGTAAGCCAGATACACCCAAGAGGCAGTTTACCAAACTCAACATGCCGCTGTCTCAAGCTTTACAACACATGTTGAGGATGAATCTGGTTACGTTGATAGGGCCTCATCTGAATCCCAAGACTTCTTTGCCTAACTACAATCCTGATGCAAGGTATGCATATCACTCCAACAGTCTGGGGCATGATACTGATGATTGTTGGATGGTGAAATATAAAACTCAAAACTTGATTGATGAAGGAGTGCTAGAGTTTACACAAGATGGTCAGGCTGAGTTCTTCTGCCATCCTTCAAAGGCACGTCATCTGAAGTGACAAGATCAGACGAAGAGGCCTTTGTTCGATAAAATTTTCAATTTGTAATTTTCTTTTGATTTGTTCGAACATTTATTCATGTCAGACTTTGTTACTTTATCAATGCATTGCATATGTCTGTTTTGAATCAATTCATTCATATTCATTATATTTAAACCCCATTCCTTTTTGTGATATTCAACTCTCGATTAAAAAGATGTAAGCCTTTAAAGGGAGGATGACGAAAATGATACCACAATCTCTACAATATGCTTTTGAATAGACCCCGCTGATAATGTACAGGCGTTGATTCAAATCCTAAACAGTGGAGTTATAAGGAAGATAATCCCTAGTCAACCCCTTCGAGCCAAAGAAGTAAGAGTTTTTATTTTCATACAAATTAAAACCCTTAATCATAACCTGGGGCAGGGTAGTTTTCACAGTTAATTCAGAGGTGCATTCAGTCACAACCTGCCGCTTCGTACACAATGAATGGCATCGAATACGTCCTTCCAAAAAAAGATGGTGATGGTTCTGTATAATCGTCAAGACAGGCAGTCATCATCTCTCGAAATAAAAGCCCATTAAGTCAAAACCTATGAAGGAGACTTAAGAGAAAAATTGGGGCATCCCGCTGACTGTAATCACAAAAGAAACAGTTCAGGCAAAAGAAGGGATAACGAAAACCAAAAAAAAGAGGTTACTACAAATCCTCGACAAAAAGAAGATTACAAAAATAACGGCCTTTTCAAAACAAATGTTCAATTTCTGAATCATCACCAAGTATCAGAGCAAAGATTCTAGACTCAATCGGGATCTAAACGCGTAATTAACTGAGCATAGGACTGAAGAACATCATGAAGAGCAGGTTGGGTACAAATAAAATTTGAGCCTTTATCCTTTGTTTCTTAAACAGTGAACCAGACCACGTTATAAACCTTAAAAGTCCTAGCTGAAGCATGGGTTAGTTTTAGAGCACATTGTTGCAAAGGTATCCTGACTCCTGTAGGCTTTGTTACGAATCCTAAGTTGATATCACATTCTTGCAAATTTCGTTTTACTACACAAAACACATTTTCAAAAAAATTTCAAGACAAACATGAGTTTTGCATTCTTTAAATGACATTGTTTGCATATGACTAATTGTTTGACGGAAGAGAAATTCGCACAATGGATATTCAATGAATATACATCCTCTCAATGGACAGAATCACCTCAGTAGGAAAGACACTTCCAATAACAGGTCTTCCATAAGCAAGGGGCATAACATGATGTCTAAACACACCTGGGGCAGTCCCTCCAAAAGTGCCAAATAACCAGGGGCAGATCTCCATCTGAATTGCTTGGGGCATTATGCACGCATTCCAACAATGAATCATGTGCCATCAAGAAAACATTTTTGACAGTACTACAACACAACACTATGGACAGTGACAACTCTCTACATCCTGAAAGCATGGACATAGTCGGAAAATACTCCGCGTGAAAAAAAGACCCGCTAGGTTGACACACCTAGGAAAAAATAAGGGAATCCCGGCGAACCAAAAGGGTTCAGGCAAAAGTTAGGGATATACATAAAAAAACTTTGTACACCCGACAAGTCGAAAACCTGAAAAGGCGGCTTGGGCAAAAAGGTATCCCGGTGGACTGAAAACCCGAAAGGGCGGTCCAGGCAAAAATTAGGGATTTAAAACGTACGACTATGTCCCGTCACCTTTCTATCAATGGAAGACTTATACCTTGATCAACATTTATCAAGAGCACCAGAATCGAGAAACGGTTCAGATACGATCCAGATACAGGTGTCATTCTGCTACTTATTCAAGATTTTCATACATCGAGAAACGGTTCAGATACAATCTGGATACGTGTGTCATTTTTCTACTTATTCAAGATTTTCATACATCGAGAAATGGTTCAGATACGGATGTCATTTTGTTACTTATTTAAGATTTTGCATACATTGAGAAACAATTCAGGTACAATCTAGAGACGGATGTTATCCTGGTACTTATTCCAGACTTCTCTTCTAGAAACAGTTCAGGTACGATCCAGAGACACATGTCATCCTGATACTTACTCCAGATTCTCCTCTAAATACAGTTCAGATACGATCCAGAGACAAATGTCATTCTGACACTTATCCAACACATGTTTCAAATACAGTTCAGATACGATCCAGAGACGGATGTCATTCTGACACTTATCCAACACATGTTTCAAATACAGTTCAGATACGATCCAGAGACGGATGTCATTCTGACACTCATTCGACACATGTTTCAAGTACAGTTCAGATACGATCCAGAGACGGATGTCATTCTGACACTCATTCAACACATGTTTCAAGTACAGTTCATATACGATCCAGAGACGGATGTCATCCTAACACTCATTAAATACATGTTCAAGTACAATCATGACATATATCCTTCCATAAAATCTCCGCATGTACTTTTTCCAGCATGGTACAAGGGGAAGAGACAGTTGGACGCAAAGTCACTATCACATACAAGCCAGTGATACCTATATTCCCCACAAAGTAAGGACAACCAAGGTCCGACCTCCGTATCCCCAAGTTTGAATTCCTTCCCTAGCAGGATCTTTCAGAAAGCTAATATCTGCATTCCCCAGCCGAGTTTTATAACCATGAGCAGTTTATAAAGCCATCTCCCGAGCAGAGTTTATTTCTCTGATAGCGGAAGCTCAATCTCCAACAAATCTCTTCTCTCTAGCAATGGAAGTTCATCCCCAACTGAGTTTATTTCTCCAAATCAGCAGATCTTCCAACAAAGTATCTCTCTTCCCCACAGAGTCATTCCTCCGCAGGATTATTCTCAGACAGAGTCTCTCCCGGCAGAATATTCTCAAGCAGAATGGATGTAAATCCCAAGCTAATCATCTTCGGTCACTATCCCCAGTGGAAACGAAGAACTCAACTCCTTATACTCTCCAGCAGCAGTCCATGATTTATTTTCCCCAGCTAGAGAATATCACAATAGCATTGCATATCCATACATCATGGCATGTGCATACATATTATATAGCACAATCTCATTTATTTTGAGAACATCATTAATCAATACATTTCATACATCATGACATTACATACGACTAACTCTTTACCTTTCAGGGAAAGATGCAATCAAGTTCTCATAAGTTCTCTCTGGTTCAGTCAAACCGACACCAAGGTTTCTATTCAAGTTGAAGATATTCCAACACTTTTCAAGATTTTCTCTGGTTTAGTCAATCCGACACTAAGGTTTCTATTCTAGTTAAAGATGTTCTAAGACTTTCGTCTGGGTCAGCCGAATCGCCGCTAAGATTCCCCTGATTTCTATGCCGATCAAAGTTAATCTGAGACCTCTCCCGGGATTAGTCAAATTGATAC